TCCGCTAGGTCATCTAGGTATTCTATAGCCTCATCGCGATCTTTTCGTAGAAATTCTCCTTTACACATCATCTCTATGAATTGATGTTCCCTATGTGTTAATCCCTCATATAAACAGCTCACGATACGCCAATTCTCATAACCGTGGTGGGGGCAAACTTGTAGTTCTTTATATATTTCCCAAGTTTGGTATAAAGTTTCACCATCTATTTGCGTGAATGGTGAGATTTGCTTCTTAAGGGCACTAGTCATATGGTGGGAAAAGTATTTATTAAAGAACGATTGAATCATTTTAGCCCAAGTCCCAATCGAATGTGGTCTCAAGGAGTATAGCCAGCTTTTTGCTATTTCTTTAAGTGAAAATGGGAAACATTTAAGCCTGAGTGCGTCCGTTGTTCCATGTTGATTGTGGAAGGTTGCTACCATCTCCTCCAATTCCCTAATGTGCACGTATGAATTTTCATTACCGAGTCCGTAAAAATTGGGAAGAAGTTTAATCCTTCCCGGTTTAAAATCCATACGTGACATATTAGGTGGAAACATTATACATGATGACGTGGATGTTCGTGTAGGGTGAAGATAATCCTGTAAAGTCCTAAAAGACATATCGCCATATTCACTATTAGTCATTGTGTTGTGTTGTGTTGTGTGGTGTTCGTGTAGATGCAGTATCAAAGATAGGGTTAGAAAGAGATCCAAATACTGGAAAATGTCTTTCTGTAGAGCTTCCTTGCTCATCTTGATCCCTACTCATAAAACACGAGAAAAAAATAGAACTATATGAGAATAAAATAACAAAGAACAAATAAGAAAATTAAATTAACTAAAAAGAACAGTAAAAGAACGATGTCACCCTTTCCAATCGATCCCTTAGTGTTTGGTACTGTCTCCCCGAAAATGGCACCAAAATTTGATTACGCCCAAAAAATAACGCTGTAATCGTAGCCAAGCTTTAGGGTGTCGATTCCACAAGGAGATGGAAAAATACTCAAGGGTTCAACAAATTAGGATTTTTCATGAATTGTTTGAAAATGATTTGTTTTTCGAAATAAAATTTAAATATCAGTGGATCTAATAATGAAATTAAAATCAATGAGTTAAAACATTGAAGTATCGGAATTTCCTCAATAATTCAGNTTATAACTCAATTAGATGATTTTATCCCGACACTCTAATCGAAAGATTTATCGTTAAAAATCAATTTAATTCAAATATTATCCTAGAATCTATATGTTCTCTAACAATTTTCCACAATTATTTATTGAAGTCAGATCATAAATCGATCATATACATCAAGCATAAGACAGTAAATAATCACACCAATAAAATAAATAAAATTGAAATTCAACAAGTATTTCAATTGTTCGATAGAAAAAGCATGACTAATGTTTATGAAAAATCTAATAAGAGTTAAACAAATTTCAAAATAAATTTATGAAGAGAAAATCTAAACCTAGAATTTTTTAAAAAGAAAAATAACAAATTACATAAATAAAAGACGCGAAATCACCAAAACCAATGAATTCCTCACTTACTTCACCAAATTGTTTAGTTATTCATGGAGTTCTTAAGTCAAGAATTAAGAGAAAAGTGTATGGAGGCATTCCCAATATGTATTCTGCTATGAAGTATTTGTGGGAGTCAAAAATTGGATGAAAATCACGTCCAAATTGGTTTCCAAAAGAGTTCCAATCAAATAAGGAAAATTGCATTCGCGCTTTGATTTTTTGTTTTTGCACAGCAGTTAGTATTTTGGTCATAATTTTCTCTCCCGATATTTGAATTAGGCAATTCAAAGTGAGTTGAAAATATAACTCAAAGGGCTACAACGTTTATATAAATAGATTTATTCCAATTCGGACTTTTACTATGCCAAAAATACGTCTCAATTCTCGGCTAAAAATCTGGAATATATCTTGTGTGAATTGGAAATTGATTTTGATAATATTTTGATCATATTCCATTCCTTTTTCAATTTCAAATACATCCAATTGTCTCCTAAAAATCTTCAAAGTATTTTCTTGTGATCCGAATCAACTATCGAGTATTTACAATTTGGTCCTCAAACTTTGAATTTTGCCACTTTTCGCTATTTTTCCATTCTTTTATCCAATTCTTCATCCAAAGCCTATTGTCTTCAACCAATTAGCTTCCAACTCTTTCAAATCCCCATTTAGCTTTCCGTACCAACTTTTGGATATTTGTGATTTAGCCCCTAAACTTTCATTTTTGTCCATTTTTCCTTATTTCTTCCCAATTCCGCTACATTCATCTTGTTGTCCTACAAAACATAAATTGCATAGAATTAAGCCATATTTCAACATATTAACAAACAATTTTCCATGTTTTGACAGTAAAATAGGTGTGTAAAAACGTACTTATCACCAAACCTTAAAGAAAGGTCCTTGATTCTCGAAGAAAGGATGGCTGAGGGCGTTGAAGAGGCATCTCTAGAAACTTATTATTAACATAAAAACTATTGCTACGCCATGAGTTCCAATCATTATGGTTCCTAAGTTAGAAATCGACAAGAGAAGGCTTCTGAAGAAGAAGTCATCTGGATGAATGTTAATATCAGTCGACCCGCTACCAACATCGATGAGGTGGCACTATTGCATGCCTGGTAAGGACGATGGGCGAGATGGCTACAAACATGAGGAACATGGCTTAGCAGAACATCGCCATGTAGCACTTGCTCATGCAGATGCATGGACAAGCAGAATACCAAATGCCCCAGTGGGATACATTTCAATAAGAAGAGAATGAGCATGATACAGCGGCTTATGCCCACAGGCAAATAAGGGAGCCCAGTCTAACCAAAAGGGAGGTGGAAATGGATATGTCTACAAATTATACCTCTAGTCAACCCGATAGTAACTTACCACAGGGGACAACGCTATAAACCCAGGGGCCCGAGAGAGGAGAGACGTTGCAAACTTAAGAAATTGAGCCTTCGGAACCACCTCATTACCAATCTGAAGATGGGGATTCAGATGGTCCATGCAGATCTTTTGAGTTGGATGATGATGATGAAAGTTTTCCATTCTCGCAAGAACTGAGGAACGCCAATGTTCATAATCACTTTGTGTCGCCAAAGATACCCAAATATGAAGGAAATGACGATACGACGAAGCACCTTAACAACTATAAGACCCACATGCCTCTTATGGTAGCCTCGTCGACGCCGAAATGAAGAGCTTTCCACCTCACCCTGAATGGGCTGCTAAAATTTGGTATAACCGCATATAGGCTGGTAGTATTAGAAGTTGGCCGAATCTCAAAAAGGCTTTCTTCAACCAATATTTGTCAAGGAAAGAATAAGAGACCACATCCAAAGGTTGTAGGATATGAGACAACAAGTGGTCGAAACTTTGAAGAGCTATCTAGCTCAGTTTACGGATGAAATGGCGCATTGTGAGTAGGTCATTGATAGGGAAGCCCTTTAAACCTTGAGAGGAGGTCTTAACATGAGCACCTTCTTTTAGAGATACGTGTAAAATAAGAACTACCTCTTACGATGCCTTGGTAGACATGATGATGAGCGAAATTGTCAACGAAGAATTGATTGACCATCACAACCAAACCTCGTTGGGGCTTCCATCGCCTCAAAAGTAGATGCAAAGTCCTGGTTCGCACTTGGTAAACCAGCAATGAACCCAGTTAGGACACACAATTGTCCCCACTTCAGGCCAAATATTAGCCACCGCCACCCTTAATACAGTCCCATCATTAGTATATGAAGAAGTTGGCCCAATGCACAAAGGCTGACAAACCAACCAAGGAATAAAGGTAGGAAAATGAGCAACCATGCCCAACATAATGCACCTTAATCTAGGTATGATCAAGAGCCTAGGCGCAATGAGACAAGGCGACATCTCAGGGATGAATCGCATAGGCAGAGGCATGACAAGGATGGAAACAAACTTAGAAGTGCCCCTGCAGATGCAGACAATGCCCCTCATTAGAGAGATTGATACAATAATTGGGGAGGAGATCAAGGAATGTCCAAAGAAATTATGCCAGAGAGGCTAAAGATCCCTCCATGACAAGCTACTTGGTCAGTAGCACCCCTTGTGGGACCGACAACACCCCACCAATAATGTTTACGTAGGAAGATGTCATGAGTGTGTATTATCCCCATTGTGATGCCTTTGTGATAAGGGCCATTATCGCAAAGAATGGTTTAAAATGCATGTTGGTATATAATAGGAGCTTCATTAACATTTTGTTTGGAGCTACTTATTATAACATGTTGATAGATCATGAGCTCACCCCCCCATGACAGCCCAGTGTATGGTTTTACCAACGATAGTATCGTCTCTAGGGAAAAGATCACGTTAGCAGTGAGATGAGAATATTCCCCTTAACGGATCAACATTTCATGGAATTCCTTGTTGTGGACCACATATCCGCTTATCATAGTGTGTTGGAGCGACTTGCGTTGAAAAAATTCTAGACAGTCACATCTATCCACTACCTATACATGAAATATTCAACCGATCGAGGCATCACTACTGTCCGAAATGATAAAATGGGTTCAACAAAATGCTACCTCAACTCCTTACGGAAGTCTATACCCCGTACCACAAATATGGTTCTGATGGACACTAAAATGCTTGACACACATGTAGAAGGTCTGACCCCTGAGCAAGAGGGAGATGTTGATATAGTAGATGTCCCCACAGAAGGGACTGTCCCTGAAGAAGGGATTGTGGATGCAGGTTTGGATCCTAGAATCGTGTAATCAAACTCTTTAGCAACTCTAGCTAAGGAGTTAGAGTTTTTCCCATAGATCCGCAAGATATCACAAAGATGCTCCAAGTAAAAAAAAAGTTGAACTCAGAGGACAAGCATAAGCTCAAAAAGACCCTTAAAGGAAGAAAGAGTTTCCAGTGGGGTGAGGAGTGCTAAATGGCTTTTCAAGAGCTGAAAAAGCACTAGGGACAAGGCCCCCTCCTGTCGAAGCCTAAGGAAGGAGAAACATTATTGTTATATCTAACCATGAGTTTGGTGCTCGTAAGGGAAGAAGGTAGCACTCAACTACCTATTTATTACATAAGCAATGCCCTCTTATCAGTAGAGTCACGAAACACGGACATGCAGAAGCTTGTTCTTTCCCTAATAATAGCCTCCAGAAGATTGAGGCCCTATTTCCAGGCACACAGTATATGGGTAGTGATCAACTTCCCATTTAAACAAGTGCTTCAGAAACCTGATGCCTTGGGAAGGAGAATGAAATGGACTGTAGAGCTAAGCGAGTTTGATATTTCTTGCAAGCCAAAGATCTCCAAGAAAGGATAAGCATTAGCAGAATTCACCAACGCCCTCGGATGTAGACATGACAATGGAACCAGTAAACCCCTCAGCTTGGAGCCTGTTTATTGACAGATCTTCTGGTAAGAGGGGCTCGAGAGCGAGAGTAGTGCTTGTAAGCTCAGAAGGATACAAGCTCAACTGTGCAGTAAGGTTTGGCTTCAAGACCTCCAATAATGCAGCTAAATATGAGGTGTTGCTGATGGGCCTCAGTTATCTAAGGAGATACAAGTAGAGAGAACGGTGGTTAATAGCGATTCACAATTGGTAATAAGTCAAGTCAATGCCAACTTCACTGTAAGAGATAAGGGCATGGTACTTACCTCAAAAAGGTTTTGGATTTGCTTCCATCCTTTAAAAAGTTTGAATTAACCCAGATACCAAGTATTGAGAATGTGTGCATGCCGACGCTTTATCAAAGCTGGCCAGCAACAAGGATTCAGAGCTACTCAAAGTAGTACCAATTGAACACATATCTAGGTCCTCTATATCCAAAGGGGAGGAAGTACCACATTGGATGCAACAAATCATCACTTTCCTTAAGGATCAGGAACTACACGAAGACAGGGAAGAGGTTCGCAAACTTGGGCGTAGATCCACCCAATATGTACTCATGGATGAAGTACTTTACAAGAGAGGCTTACTGTCGCCCCTCTTGAGGTACATCGAAGGAAAATAGGCCAATTATGTGCTACGCGAGATTCATGAAGGAGTTTACAACAACCACACGGGGGGCTCTGGCGTTAGTGTAGAAATTTCTAAGAAAATGGTACTACTGGCCAACCCTAAAACGTGATGCTATTCAATTTGTGAGAAGATGTGACATGTGTCAACGCTTCTCCACCATTCAAAGATAGCCATCTCAAGAACTGATTGTATCCAGCCTTTGGCTCTTTGCTAATGGGGGGTATACCTCATAGGCTCCCTACCTAAAAGAAAGGGAAGTGTCTCTATGCAATTGTCGCCAGTAATTATTTTACCAAGTAGGTAGAGGCTGAAGCCCTAGTAAAGATCACTGAGGCCAACACCTCCAAGTTCCATTTAAAAGAATATTATTTGTCGATTCGGGATTCCCCACTCATTTGTATCTAATAATGAAAGGTATTTTGACAACAAAAAAGTCAGGGACTTGTGTGAAGAACTAGGAATCAAGAAATATTTCTCTTCCCCACATCACCCCAAACAAATGGCCAGGTAGAGGCAAGTAATAAGACCATCAAGCATATCTTGAAAAAGAAGCTTGATACTTCAAAAGGGACGTGGATGGACGAGCTTTCCCAGGTATTATGGGAAATTCACACCAGCAGTCGAACCGTAACAAGAGAAATCACCTTTTTTTCTATGGTATATGGTGCCAAATCCATGAGTCTGATAGAAGAAAGGCTACCTTCACCTCACTGCCCACACTTTAACGAGATACCAAATGATGAAATATGAAAGTGTGAGTTAGATTTTCTTGAAGAAAGGAGAGACAACTCCCAAATAAAACTAGCCTTCTACCAGCAAAAAATGACTAGATACTATAATGTCAAGGTCGAGAAGAAGTCATTCCGAAGAGGTGACCTCGTGTTAAGAAAAGTCTTCTTCTTCTCCAGGGAATCCAGTGTGGGCACATTGGGTCTCAACTGGGAAGGACCTTACCTTATATCTGATGAATTGAGGTCAGGGACTCTTAGAATCGAGAGCTTAGATAGAAAGTGCAACCCCCCTAGAATGTCGAGCATTTGAGAATGTACTATCAGTAAACTCTTGTTCTATCATGCTTGGATTCTCCTCAAACTTTTGTCCACTCTTCGTTAATAAAGAAGATTATGCTTACCACCATCTCCCAAATGAATCCTTTCCATCAATGGCACTAACATTATGGAAGATGTCTTTGCACTGAAGAGCTATCCCATTGCGGAGAACATTGATAAATTTAATTATGACGAACCCATACAAGATTGTCAAATTTAGTTAAGGCAGGCCTCTATTTATATTCAATGTTAGTTATTGAGAACTCATATGTTTATTCAAAGTTAATTATGGCAAGCACATACAAGATTGTCAAAGTTAATTATAACGAGCCCATACAAGATTGCTAAATTTAATTATGACGAGCACATACGTTCATTCAATGTTAATTATGGCGAGCCTATACAAGATTGCTAAATTTAATTATGGTGAGCCCATATAAGATTGTCAAAGTTAATTATGGCGAGTCCATACAAGGTCGTTAAATTAAATTACAGCGAGCCCATACGTTCATTTAAAATTAATTATGGCGAGACCATGCAAGATTGTCAAATTTAGTTATGGCAAGCCCATATGTTTATTCAAAGTTAATTATGGTGAGCCCATACAAGATTGCTAAATTTAATTATAGCGAGCTCATACGTTCATTCAAGGTTAGTTATGGCGAGCCCATACAATATTGCTAAATTTAATTATAGCGAGCCATACAAGATTGTTAAATTTAATTATGGCGAGCTCATACAAAATTGTTAAAGTTAATTATGGCGAGCCGATACAAAGTTTCTAAATTTAATTATGGTGAGCTCATGCATTCATTCAAAGATAATTATGGCGAGCCCATACAAGATTGCTAAATTTAATAACAGCAAGCCCATATGTTCAATCAGATTTAGTTATGGTGTTCCCATAACTATATTCATTTTTAATTATGGCGAGCCCATACAAGGTTCGGAATCATCGAGCCAGTGTATGTTTTGTTATGGGGATCTGAGTTATCTAGCTATGGCTCGATTATGGGAAAAGGGCAAATCAATTTACATTATCCATTGAAACAGCAAAGTACGCAAGAAAATTGAATAAAAATAATTCCTTCATGTAGAAAATGAGATCATTACAAGGGGAAGCTAAGAAATAAAAGCCTAAGTCTAAACAGCAGTGTCATCCTGCTGAAGCTCTTCCTAGTCATCGACCTCTTCCACAGAGGCTTCGACTCCATCTGCTAGTAGACAGCTTCGTCGGAAGGGATTTCTCTTTTATAGAAGCCAAGTCCACTTGGGGATGTATCTCAGCGAGTTTCCCAAAGACTTCATTATATACGACCTTCCAGTATAAATCAAGGCCATTGTGCTCAGTTGTTTCATGGAAGTGAGCGACGTAGTTGTTCATAGGTGTCTCCCCTGCCCTCACTCAACCGCTGCCTAAGCTATCAGCATCAGCGATCAGCTCGTCAATACTAGTCATCATCTCTCATTTCTCCTTATTAGTAGTCTCCGTGGCCGAAGAAGTGATTTCTTGCAGGTTATCTGAATTCTCTACATGTTTCGTCAAAGCATTCACTTTAGCTTTGTAGAGGTAGACTTTCTTTTTCAATTCATTATTTTCCTTGGAAAGTACCTTCACTCTTCCTGGGAAAACAAGCTCGCTCATCCGGGATGGGAATGAATATCTCTATGGTATTAGGTATCCTATACCTCTTTCTAAAGGTCTTAACCTCACTCTCTTCTATGCTCGTTGGCCACAAAGATATCCCCACTTACATTATAGTGTGTGAATGATGCCAGAGGGCCATATCGCTTCCATGATCCTCTCTGTTGGGATTACAAGAGGCAAACCAGCCTCATCGCAAATAAGGGCCACGAAGCTCCCTCAGAATACCCCACATTTGGTATTTTTTCTTTGAGGAAAAAGCCATTAGATGTAGCAAACGCGAATGAAGTAAGATTCTAATACTTATGCCGGAACAAACACATTGAAGACTTGAAGTTACAAGTGATCGTTGAAAATGCAATGAATGTGGCTTGGAATCTCAAAGAATTCTTGGGATGCTTTTCGAACGTTTAAGAGTTTTTGTAGAGTGAAAATAGAAGAAATGGTAAAGTCTGTCTCTTTTATGTCCAGGCGAGGTGACGCCCTACCGTCAGATTAGCCCTAGGAAAATCCCAAGCGTACATACTTATTTGTCCATCTAGCACGATAAAACCAAAATGGCACCTGCCAAAATTCGAATCAATGACCCAAATGGCTTCATGTTACGCACCACTCAAAGTTCAAGTGATTTCTATCGACTGCATCACCATCATTGTGCAGTAAATGAGCAAACAGTAAGCGTATGGAGAACCGCCAATCCACGTGGTTGTTGCGCCTTGAAACCAAGCAATGCGTCATCGCACGCCCCAACAGATTTTAGTTGCTCCAATAGGCTTGCCCTAATGTGTGCTGTCGCGGGCACCCCAAAAGTAATACCTTAACCTCTAAAACTAATGTAGTAGTGGAAGTAAGGGTCGATCTCACGAAGAGTATGTAATTCAATATTTTATATTTCATACAATGATTGGGGGGTTTGTATGCACACAATTGTAAATATCGCAATTAATAACAATGAAAATTAAATTAACGAAAACAATCAAAAAACTAACCTTGGTCCAAGTCAATATCCACCATCGAAACTTTACAATTGATCACCGATGCAAGTATAAATCAACCCATATTTTGAATATTCATCGTTGGAATGAATTCCTATTTCTCCTTAATTTTAGTTAGTTAGAAATCAGCGTTCTAACTAACCCTAATTATTAAATAACCCCAAATCAGCTCTCAATATTCAATTTAATAACAGTTTTACACAATAGAAAAATCGATGAATTAGATAACTCAAACACCAGCGGTTGCATTCAATCTATTTAAANTAAATTAAGAAAACCCATTTAGATCTCACAATATATGGTTTCGAGACTTCAATCTCTTTTGACCAAATGTAAAAATTTAGTTACAATTCATGAATCTATGAACAAAATAATGAAGAATGAAGTTTGGAGGCGTTCTGTACGTTCTTCCTCCATTCTAGGGTTTAAAAATATGTATTTATAGTTGTTTCCATAGATAGTTGACTTAAATTCGAAAACCAGAATTTTCATGTCGGGAATGAACTATGCGGTCGCATGGTAGTAAGTCATGTAGTCGCATAGAATATTGAAAATGGACTCTAAAATTCGCCGAAACACCATTTGCGGCCGCATGGAATTAAAGACATGCAACTGCATGGTTTTAAATAATTTCCACCGGATAGTTTTCACTATTTTGACCATGTCTTTCTCTCCTAATAACCGATTGAGGCGATTCAAGATGCGTTAGAAATCTATTCAAGATGCGTTAGGAATTATGAACATAGAGATTTTGTAACATTGACATTACTCTCCTCCATCACTTATTTT